TCATCCTCTCACTATTCTATATATAGTATGGGGGAACACCAACCAACCCGGATCCCTCCCCAGCCCACAGGGTAGGTTGGCACCACAGCTGTGGTCCGAGGGCAAGGCTGTACCAGTCCCTCATCACGGTGACGAGGGGTGGGCAGGCATTGCCGATGGGGGAAATCGGCGGTGCTAGCGCCGAGCAACGGCCAGTCACTGCACCTCCCCCTACCCCCCCCTTCTCTTTGGCGTAAGTGCCAGCTTCTTCGGCAGACGGATGTGAAGCCCTGATCGCTGGGGCGGAGCTAAGCGGCGGGTCTGCTTATTCTGCATGTTCTGCTCAATCCGTTTTTCCCCGCTGTGATCTGTGCTTCTGAGTTTTTTATGGATGTTCTTTTTCCTGGCCAGTTCCTTGAGTCCTCTGGTCCCTTTAACAATCTTGGTGACCATGTTGATGTCTTGATCGTGGTTGTTCTTTTGGCTCGCCACAGCCAGGATCGAGTCTCCTGCATGGGAGAGGGAGTTGCGTTATGAGTATAGCCTATCCGATACCGCATGGAGAAGCTTGTTACACATTCCTTTTTTTTTCTTTTTTTTTTCGGAACAAGGCTCCAATCTATTCGTGGGGAGCAGCACGTGCTGGGAACCGGGCCCAGCGTCCCATATGACACATTTCAGAACATGCGGAATCCGAATGCAGACCAAATTGCAGAGCCGATTTCAAACTATCACTGTTCATCAAGAGTAAAGAAATCTGGTCTTGTATCTGATGCCAATCCAAGCCTGATATCGCTGAGATCTTGAATTTAAGGTTGGCAATCAACCACATAACCATCCTTTTTTTCCTTTTTTTTTAACCACATAACCATCCTTTGTAGGCTGGTCTGCAACTCTATCAACTTATCATTACAGTCCCTCCTGGCTCCCATTACTGAGATGGTTATGGGTGTCACAGGGGCATTTTCCACCTCCATCAAGTTGTGTGAGAAGATCACCTTCAACTGATCTACTTCCATGTCCTCCCCCTCCTCCCTAAGACCCATTACCCCCGTGGAACAGTTAGCTTTAGTCGGGAGCTTTCCCTGTGAGGAGGGTTGGTTCATCTGTTGAGCGGAGACCACCTGTCTCGACTGTTGTGTTTGCTGAGACGAAGGGTCCTGCTGCATTCTACTTCCTTGTCGTATCCGACTGCTAATGGGACCATGCTCCAGAGGTGGTCTTAAATTACCTTTTCGAAATTTGTGCATGAGGAGGAAAAAAGCCGTGAGTGTTAGTTCAGCATTGGAAAGACAAGGTGCACTTCCTTTTTGGGGAAACTAGTGCGACTATGTGCGCTTCCTGGGAGGTGCAAATGTCAGGGCCGCGACTCTGTCCTACATGGACAGAGAAGGTGCGTGTGACCACACGGGCACCCAAAGGACCAAATACATGGTACCAAACGTCCCAGATA